AGAGACAGAGAGAGGTTATGATGCCAAGAACCTGCGGCATTCGTTTGATGACTGGCATGAAGATGTGACAGACACAGCCACACCTAGTCCTTTTCTCGTGTGAGTCTCCAAGTCTGTATCTATTTTGGACAAAGATTATTGAACTCAGCAGCCCTCAGGCCCCGACTTTCTTTGGGATAATTCCGTATCAAAGACCAATGCCCTGCTCCCCACCACTCACACTCACCTTGGAGATTCACTTCCAAATAAATACAGTCTGAGGAGCGATGTGCAGACATTCTAAGCATCCGAGCCTTGTGCCTTTTTTCCAGAGCAAAGTGCCTCTCAACGTGTTTATCTGGGAATCGATTTTTTTTTATGTCAAACTTGTTAATTTAGGTGGAAATTAATTGCTTTTCTTGAAGGTTTCTTTAAATTTCAGTTTTAAATGAGTGCATAAGGCAGTCACATTTATTATTCATTTATTTCCTTCACAATATAGCCTTCATGTCCCAAGTTCCCAGAGATGCCAGCACTGAGCAGAGATGATTTAATCAGGGAGGTCATTAATTAGAGGTGGGGAGCTCGGCAGGGGGTGGGGTGGGGGTTCCTCCCAGAGGAGTAGGTTTCAGAGCCTCTGTGGCCTCAGCAGGTTGGGGGTGGGGTCTGGATCAGTGGGCTCTTTCCACAGTGTTTCCACTGGGGACTTAGTGGGGCCGAGTGTCGTGGTTGGCAGCACTACCTTTGTTCCCACTGGCAGCCCCAGAGGCCACGCTCCCTACTCTCCCTGCAGTCCATCTCACTCAGGCCACCAGGAATCTGATTCTTCCCCTTCTGTGACACCCCAGCCTCTCCCTTAGTCTCATCACCAAAGGCTCCTGAAGATTTGGCCTCAGCTTACTTCAATCTCTTTCCGACTCCCTCGCACCCCTCTCCGTTTCAGATACTCCCTACTTTTGCCTGTCGTTCACCTCCAGGAGCTGCGGTCCCCACGTTGGGCCATGCCTGCCCAAGCCCCTTCCAGGTAAACGAGCTGCAGGTGCAGGCATGTTCATCTGAAGGCACCCAGGGCACCTTCAGGCTGTTCCTAGCCTTGTGTTATGAGCTCAGACAGGCGTGACTCATGTAAAATGATTTTAAAATTAAAAAGCAAGAACAGAAAAGGAAAAATTCTGTGTCCTACCCGCTCATACCCAAATTCTTAAAAGCAGACAAATTGTTAAAACCCCATTTTACGTGACCAACGACTCAGCAATGAACCAGAGTGATCAGCGAGTGAAAAAAAACAGACAGAGAATATTCATTTGAGGCATTTTCATCGTTGTGATAGAGTTCTTGGGTGTTTGGCTCAAATTGCTTTTAAACAAATTGTTTTCGATAAAAACAACTTTGCCTATCTTCCCAAAAGGCTTGCCCACCATGCCCCCACCACCCTCCCGGGTTCACAAAGACTGCTGCATGGGACAAGGGGGTCCAGCAGGGATGGGTCTCCAGGCATAGACTTACCCTCTACCACTGCCTCTTCCAGACACACACAGCAGCTGACGCATCAAATGTCAAAGGTCCCATTTATTTCCGGCAACCCAGAAAGAAAAGGTATAAATAAAAATAAACAGATCCATGCACTCGACTCCTTGCAGGAGGGTGGT